GTGAAGCAGGATCTATCATTCAAATATTTTATATATAAAGGTAATTTAGTATTTCACTTAATTGTATTGGACTTTTTAAACTGTAATATATATGACAATAAGCTGTTTACCAGCATTAGCATTCACTCTTTGAGGACACCTGCAAACCCTTAATATGATTGGGGCCGAAAGACTTGCTCCTCCTTTTTCCCCCTGGCATTTACATTTCACTGAAATAGAGATTTCTTAATGCAACTTCTGCACCTGGTGTAAAACATAACTTCTGTTACCTTAGAATCAATTTTACACTTGATTGCTGCATAATCTACAAGAATAAAAGTTAGCTCCTGCCTCAACAGAGTTGACACTGGAAAAGGTTTATTGACTACGAATGCAGGAGCAACCCATTCTGACCGTTCTCTGGAGTTACAGTAAGTGCAAGGCACACAAGTTTCCAGCAACTATAAACCTCTTCCTGTATTTTTTTGATACTTTAAAGAAACAGTGGAAATATTAAAAGACTGATTGACCAGGAGAACCTCGAAAAAAAAATTCTCTTTAGTGAAGAATAAATTCTATGATCTATGAGAGAGATTTTTTTGAATTATAACTGCTGCCTCTCAAGTTGTGCAGAATTGCTTCCCCCAGCATCTGATGTGTCACTGTTATCATTAGCATCTGTCAGGGCTGTTACCGATTCTGATTGAAAAAAAAAAGGAAAACAGCAGTTTGGCAGAAATTTTTCTGCTTTTGAAATTGGAGTTTAACAACTCCTGTGAACTGTACTTTAGTGCTGTCAACGCAGGCAAATATTCACTGCACATTATTAGAGCCATCCTAAAAAAGCTCCTTCCTTTTTGACAACAGGGCACACATGTATATCTAGCTTGTCCTTAAAGCAAATATTTTGAAGCTGGAAGTCCTCATTTTGGGATAACTTAGACAAAAGCCTCCTAAAAAAATTTTTTTTAATTTGTTTTTTGAGCATTTCAGCTACAGATATGCACCAGACAGTCTCTTGCTCCTGAAGCACTGCCTGACTTGGTCACGCTGCCAAGCAAACCAGCAAAGAAAACATCTTCAAGCTGTAGTTTTTTTGTTTTTTTTTTATAAATAGAGGGGTCCGAGCCTGTCAGCCACACAAGTTTTATGAAAACTGAGTCGACAATCATAGCAGCTTTTAAGATTTACATAGATACTACTGGGGCAAATGTACCATGGAAACCTCATGGAAACCTCCGCATGTGGGCAGAACCTCAGTTTAAAAGATGCAATGTGGTGAAGCTGGTAAAATATTCCTGTTAGATCAATTATCAGAAGCTTTTTCTGGCAGAAATGAAACTCCAAAAGTGAGTAGCTGTTGAGTCATAAATGGCAAGATGAGAAAAAGAGAAGAAATCTAAGCAGCGAAGATTTTTATAAAGATAAGCATGCACAGAAGAGGGCATAGGTACAGCCTAACACTTTTTTGTGTTATCATGCCATGAACATCCTCATACTGCTAGTCAGTGTCACACAAACTGTTTGAGGATAATACAGCCTATACACTGAAAACCGGCAAGCACCATGCCGAAGACCAATGGGCTGATGCTCTTGGATGCTAAGGGGGACTTTGGGCTGCCAGGTGCACCATGGAAAGGATGTATTTTTTTCATAGACATTTTGCACAGTCATTTACACCCACAAAAAGTGACTATATCACACTCCTATTCCAATTTAACTGTTTTTCACTCATTCTACAAAGGCATAAATGATGGCTCATGTTGTAGGACAAATGAATGGAATAAGCCCTTTAATAACAGCCACGTTTCAGAAATGTGTTCCCTCTTGCACTGAAGTTAGTGACTCTCTTTCTATTGACTCAGGAGCTCATACTAGTAGGGGCCTAATTCTTCCATCATCTTTGTAAGACTTAATTTGTTAAGACTTTGGCTGAAATCTGAGAAAGGCTGAAGCACTTTTCCGAGGTGCGAGAAGTGAGGGCTTTTTTGCATTCTGATCTTCTGACATAGATTTGCTCAGATCCAATATCTGCCGTTATTTATACAGCTCTGTTGGCATGTGTGGCATTTTGCAAGCTAGAACCATGCTCTGAGGAGTTCATCATCTAAAAATTGGCATATAATTTAATGAGTAAGGACAAAAGAAAACAAGATAAATAGAAAATTGCTCCTGGGAAAGTTCCACTGTTTATTTTTAATCGCAAAGAATGCAGATCATTCAGGCTGTTTCTGTTTCAGATTTCTTTCTTTTTTGAATGATTAGACATGTGAAAGAGAAAGAGGTCAGACACAGAGTCCAAAAATTCCCTTAGGAAGGATGAAATAGAAGCTACAAAGGGAATAAAAAAATTCAGAACCAAATCCTCTTACTCTCCTTCCCTGCCTCGCCTTTGTGTTGCCAAAGAACAAACCAGGATATTTCAAGGGGAAAGCTTTTTATTTCCTGAAGATTGGAGCATCTTCAAGGTGATGCAAAACCCACCCACCCATCGCTCCCACTGCTGGGAGATGCAGCCTGAAGTCGAGTTGTACCTTAGTGCAGTTGTAAGACCACCCTCAAATACTCTAACATGTCTTTGGCCCTGTAAGCACCCAGAATTAAGGGAGCTCACACGTAGTTCCCAGCACGTTACTCCTTTCCATCCCACTTGATGTGTTTTCCCTCCTTCTTCTGCAGCACAACCAGCCTACATTTAGCAAACACATTCACACTATCAAGTTTTTTTATTTTTTCTATGCCTTTGCACTCAATGTTGTCCCCACAGAAGGAGACACAAATTTCACTGGCAGTTGTATTCTGAATAACTCAATTAGTCCTGAAACAGAACAGTGAGCATTGTACATTTTCTCTATCTCATTTATAACGCTTGTAGATTTTTTTTAAAAAGCTTTTTTTTTCTCTGGCAATTCTCTGCTCATCATTAGCTATAAATAGATTATATTGATGCATGTAAAAGCCTGCTTATTTCATAAACTACAGATATAATTTTATTTTAAGGTAAATGACTGGCAAGGAAAGAGTAAAAAGGCACATAAGTTAGAGGTATGCAAGATAACACTTAAGCTACCAGTGAGGTTCTCCCCATTCTCCTCCCCTATTCTGATTCCAAATGCAAAAACAGGGAATACAGCTGAATTACAGGCCAACAGATTTACATATCTGGAAGCCAAAAAAAAAAAAAAAAAGAAAGAAAGAAAAAAAAGAGAAATATACAGAAAAAATCTACTGTTGCAAGATATTTCCAAGATTCATACAGAATTTAATAGTAACAGGAATATTTGAAGTCACTTAAAAAAAATCTGCCATGTGTCCTACAGAAGGAACATATACTAAACTTGATGTCTTAGGGAATTCTTAGGGAATTAAGTTTTCTCTGTATATTTCTTAATAAAAAATAGTGGAAAGTAGTATCAATTATTTCTGCAGTAAAGGATAAAGCTGGGAGTAAGGAAGACTGTTATTGTCCTGGACTATATATACTGTCAGGTTATATATATAATTTATCCATTTTGATATGAATATTTTTCCTTTCTGTATAGTTCTGTTACTTTGGTAGAGAAGACAATGGAGGAAATAAACTGGTCATCTTGACTTGAGCATGAAAAAAGTCCAATCTTCTTTCCAAGGTGGAATTTAAGTACACCCATTCAGCTTGGTAAAATTACCATGAATGTGAATCAATAACATGCTGTGACTCAAGGTGCTGAAGGCACGCACGTTCACAGCAAAACTATATTAAAGAAAGGAAGATTCACTTGTAAAATAGAGAAAAACATTAATGCATCTCAGTATTAGCTTTCAATAAGCAGATGTGTCTTTCGCTATGCATTGTGAAGCTCAGTTTGTTAGACTTAAAACAGAAAGACCCAGTGAACAGCAAATAAAAAATTGCTGGTCTGTTTTGGCTTTCTTTGCCATGTCCTAAAGGTAGTCTCTAGTTTCGAATATAATGTGTTATCAACTGATTGTACATTATCATCAGTTGGCGAGAAGCCTGATGATGAGATCACACTGGTCTTCACCAATGAATAAGAAAGAAAGAGTCTGGTCATGATCAGACCCCAATCTCTTGTGAATTGGTACAAACTGCATCAGCAGTGATCTGTTGGGCAGCAGAATAAGGAATTTGAAATGGCATGTTAGAGGATGAAAGTGGAGCATGTACATGTGTGCAGTGAATAAAATAAGCTCCTCAGAAATCATTTTACAGAGAGATAAAGGCTGCTGCCTCTCCACTTCTACGAGATTTGAGGTTGATGACTCTCTCAAACTTGATTTTCCCAATGGAGCAGAGGAGAGACTTTCCTGTTTCTGTTCTGTTTTCTCCAACCTGATTTGCAGACTGGCAATTACAATGTCTCCTATTATTGTTTTTTAAATCAGAAAATTTGAAACAATCTAGTTAAGGACATAGACAAAAAATCCCCAAGAGAGGACTGGGGACAGGAGACAGATGCCAGATTTTCTCAAATAATGAGCTTTTAAAGCTCATCTTTTGGTATAAAAATTCCATACCAAAAAAGAAGTTGCCAACATTTCTTTTCTTGTTACAGTAGAAAGAGAGTGTTTGGCATAGGAAAATCTTAATATTGGATTTGCACCAGGAAACAAAGCCAGAGAATCTGGCCAGGAAATACGGCTCTAAAAAATGGGCACATCCAAGATGGCAGTGGCCAAGGGACAAAACACTGGAGATTTCAGGATTGTTACAGTATGAAAGGCTCCATGAAACACAATGAATCCCTGACTAGTGTTTTTTTTTAAAAAGCCAGCTCTGAAAACTTTCCAGATTACGCTTCTACTTACGTCTATTTTGCAAACAACTACTGAGCAAATTCAGGGCAATTCTGTTCTAGAGAGATGCATTCTCCAAACAGAGCTGCTAATATTAAAATATCCCTAGTGCCAGGTTAGCAAGTCTGAAGATGCCCTTGTGAACCAATGATATGCTAAATAAATCATTTTGTCTCTTATGTATATAATCTGCCCTGTGTCCAAAACTGGGAAGCAGGTGCATTCTCTTAAAGAGCTTCCATAAAGTGTTCCTTCTGTGCATTTTTAGACACAATTACTTTGCATTAAATGTATCTATTTGGGAATTTTATAAATAAATTACATGATAAAACAATCCCCATAAAGATGCTAGAAGCTACCCCAGAAACTAGCCGATAAAGAATTATTCTTTCTTTACTTCCAAACAATAGCAGCATGGTCTCTAAATTCATTTGCACACTTGTTCTTTCTCTTACCAGCTGTTGCCCTTTTGGACCCCAACCAGCATACTGAAGCTTTGCATTGCTGACCTCAGGGGGATACAAATTCTGGGGATCCCTGCAAAAAGAGAAAAATAAGATTTCAACTTCAGGAATGTCCTTATTTAAGCTGCTTCACACCTGCTCTGGAAATCCACTATGAACTCATAAGGTGTCTTTCAGCTGGAACCATGGAATATCTAGTGCCAGATCTGGTAGATTTTTTTATCATAAGCTAAGTATTATACCACTAGTAAGCATTTGTAAAATCAAGTATTTAACTGACAGTTTCTATTTCTTATTATACAAAGTCGAACACATTGGTTCCACTGCTGCCTTGCCTAAGCCTTAAGAATTAGTCAAGGGATGGTAAACAAAGTAATTGTATTTATCAACATTGATGATTTCTGCAAAGGATAAATAATAATTATGTTTTTGAATCGTACTGCCACAAGAAAAATGTAATTTCATCTTTTTCACCCCATGGCTTTTCTACCTAATAATTTTCCTTTCAACATGATGGCAGAAAAGTTAGCAACTGTATAACAACTGATATGCAGCCTGGTTTCAAAGGGAAAAGCTCCTATTAATGGCAAATATCTCATTTTTTTAGAAAATAAAATCAAAATGGTTTTCTTGTTCTTTCATCCATTACCTTCATTTTGTAGCAGACAATCAGTGAGACATAGCAAATGCAATATAGGAAAAGGAGACTTTTTTGGTAAATGTCAGAGCAGCATAATGTCATTTTATCGCAGCACAGACAGCATTGCCTTGACTGTATTTATACTCAGCACAAATAATTACATTACATATTCTGAAGTCACAGTGCTACAACTCTGTGTATAGGAATATTCTACAAACAAGAACACTAATAAAGCCTGTATACAGTATGCCTCGCTAGCAGATCCCAAACTGCTTTAAAAAGTAAGGGTATTATCATCACTGGTCTACAGATAGGAATGACGAGGCAATTTGAGGCCAGCAGCACCCAAAAGCAGAGAAAAAAGCCAAAGCCCACCTAGCCTTTAAGCAAAAGGTCTTCTCTTCTTGTACAGAGTTTATTTCTTCATTAAAGTCAGTATTTTCCAGACTGTATTTTCAAAACAGAACAAATCTGAGTGCAATAATTAGACAGTAATTGAATTCTCTTTATTGCCTGTTTTGTGACCGGGTGCTGTACCGCAGTTACAGTCCAGCTCTGCCCTTTCAGGCAAGAACTCCCTTGGCTGCACATTCCCGCTGCACTGGGGCTGTGGTAACAAGTCCAAAGGCAGCAGCAAAAGGAATGTTTAGAAACTGATTTTGTGCAGTCTTTCCAATGTGAAAAAACTAGCGTTTCCTCTGAACTCCTGTTCAAAGGCCAGCTAGAATCAGGGCAGACCCTAGATGAGGACACCAATGTCTACAGTTTCCCCCTTCCAGAACTCCTGCAGTTGGAACAGCAACTTTGCTCTCCTGCTAGAAGATGTGTATCAGTGGTTATAAACTATAAACCCATAATGTCCGCAAGGCCCCTGGGAAGAGGTCCGTGGAGCCAATTAAAACTGAAGTGCTCAAGATGACAGGTTTGATGCAGATGGGATCCATTAGGAACGTGGAGGGTCAAGAGTGATTTGTTGAGGCATTGACCCTTCAAGTCTGAGAACACTGCAGGGAGCTGCAGTGTGCTCAGACAGTTTTTGACTCTGTAGGCGAAGTGTCATCCACAACTGTTGCCAGTGAAGTAAAATTATATCTTTTCTTCTCACAGTTTTTAACCAGAATGTGTCTTTGTGGGTAGCCTAAAGTAATTTTGTAAGTTATGGATAAAAGAACACGTGACTCTCATACTAAACTCCTACTAATAGGTGCCACAAAATTCCCATTTCAGCAAGAAGAATAGCCATAGAACTTCTTCTGGATCTTTTCAAGCTTGTATACATTAGCTAGTCAAGTTTCAAGTCAGCTATTCCTGTAAAGACTCAATCTCTTGGTTAGCTATCTTGATTATCTTAATAGAGCAAACTCTGAGTGCAGCAGGAAGCAAGAAAAATAGTGAATCGAATCAAAATCTCTTATGGGAGAACAAAAAAAGTACTTCACTATTTGTCAGACTATCTAATTCTTGATTTTTTTTTACCCATGGTGAGAAGAGGAGCACGATATTAAAAATACAGGGGGAAATATCACCCTTAAATAAACAGATTACAGAAGTTGTAAGAATTCGAACCTGTAATTCTTCAGATAGCACAGGTGGAGCTAAGGGACACATGTATCAATTACAGCCAATAATTCAACCAGATCCCAGACAAGTTGTTAGTTCTGCTCACTGCTCATCTTTTAGAAAGGAAAACTTTAACACAATGAGAAATGCTGCATAAACCTTTGATTTGGTAGCTGATAAGGCAGAAGGAAAAGCACTCCGTCCAATCTACTAGCAACGATCTCTGCTGCAGACAAAAAAGCAAAGTCATCTTCCCTTTCTCTGGTATGGCTGAGAAAAAGTAGAATTGCATCTCCTGAGTTCCTTCTTAAGTTGTTCAGCATGGCTGGGAAACGACTTCTGTAGCAAAATCTTGTTTGTTTCCCTTGAAACCTTTTGATAAATATGCAGGTAGAAAGGCTGAATAATGGACTTGCATATTGCTTGGAAGTGTTTGATTTACAAACCTAGTTCTCATGAACTGCCTCTATATTCAGCATGTAACAGCATGCATGTCCAGGCTGTGATGTAGACCACTGAAGGCAGGCGGTAGCCAGGTATCTATCCTCATGCTGTGAGTTATTCTTTTCTACCACAGGCTATGAAAGCAGTCAAAGATCCTAGTTTCTCCCCACAAACACTCTTGAGAGATGGATGTTTTCCTCTTGGTAGACTTTGGTTTGTTCTTCATCTCTTTTGAAGAGAAACCTCTTCCCTAGAGGAGCAACATTCTCTCCCTCACCTGCAGGAATCTTCAGCATCATGTGCAAGGGGATTGAGAAGATACCTCTCCTTGCCAAGCCTGATCTAGCAAGCTTCAGAGAAACTGCAGGAATGATCTGGAGATGGGCTGTGTTAGCAGTGGCCAGGGGAGACTGGGCTGTAAGCAAGCCTGAAGGTGGCATGAAATTGGAGTTCACCGATTTGTGAACCCTACCATGAAAGACAAGACACTCACACGCTTACTCAAGCTATGTTGTGTGCATGGTCTGCAATACATGCAGACTCCCTTCCTGGCAGCCCCAAGCAACCTACTTACAAATTCATTGTACCACCTATAGAGATAGGAGGAGGAGTTGTCTACACAGCTGCTCCAGGCAGGATGGCCACAACCCTTTACTGATCTCCCCAGGAAAGCTTTTAGTGATCCTCAAACTGAGAAACCTGTTTAGAGACCAGCTATCAAACACATTTCTGATTATCTCATAGTATTCTGGACCTTTAGCTCTCCTTGGTAAAAATCCCTTAAGGGAGTCAGACCAAATGCACACCTGTATCCTGGGAGCACTCGTCTATTTTCCAAGTGCTGCATAAATGGGATCTCATGCCACTCAGCTCCTTCTGGGAGGTACGTTTTTGCTGATAAGCTATAGTCCTCCATAGCTACACCCTTGCTTCTCCTCCAAAACAGCCTGCTTGAAATTCCTCTGTATTTTTTTCTTGAATCAATCAATATTATGGGTCATCTCAGCCTCTCCAAAGAGCCAGTGCTCTTCACAGACCCTCATAATTAGGGCTTGTTTGGATCTGAGCCTTTCCCCTGTAAGCTCGTTTGTGCAGAATGCTGGCTTGGAAATGGGCTGTTCTGAAGGCAGTCTGTATATCTCCTGTTGTTGGTTTGCACGAGGAACTAGGTTCATTGCATCCTCACACCGTTTTCATTATTTCCTTATGGAAAAGAACCTTAATCTTCATTTCCAGCCAAAAAAAGGGCAAGGCTTTATTAAAGGAATGCTGTTATTTCTTTCGTCTCTTAAAATGATTGATTTTAAAGCCTGGAAAGAAGGGAATAATAATGTTGTTTTAGGCCAGGCAGAAGATTGAGCAGATGCTGTATAAACTCTTCCACGTTAAGATGACTTTGTCTGGACCAGAGGCTGTTAAATTGCTCCAGACACGGGCATGATTTCAGCACGATGTTCAAAAAACATTACTGAAGTAGTAGATTGTGAAATCTGCTCATTTAGATGAAGCTTTCTGCCAAAAAGTCTCCCCTCAAAATTTCCGAATAAGGAAAATTCCTGACTGCAATTAGTCAAATCATTTTTGCTTGTAATTTAGCTCAGAACATATATGTAGAATAATACAAACTAATCAATCATAGCAGGTTGCCCGTTTTTGACCTTAAAAAATACCGTGATTAATGAGGAACTAGTTATAAAGAGATTTTTTTTTTTTTTCTGAAATTTTTACATCTATGTGTTCCCTCTTCTGACATTTTCTCCTGTCCTAAAGAAGACCAAAGAGACTTCATGGCACTGAGTCTCCCCCTGAGCACAAACATGACAAACTATTCCATATTAAGTTCGTCAAAAGCAACTTAAAAAACAATAGAAATTTTCCACTATAATTGACAGAGAGGCTCCTTTTACTTCAAGAAAAATATTTTACAATGCCAGACTGAAAAAGTCTTAAACTGAAATAAAAAACAAAGTCTAGGGTATGGTATAGACAGTTCTAGAGTCTGTTTCAATTATTTTAAATTTTAATTTTAAACACAGAACAATAGGAGTTATATAGAAATTCATTGCACATGCTGCCAATGTGAGCAAAAATGCAACAATTTCCACCAGAGGCTGCTCTGATGTGTCCATCTTTTAAATAAATAACCAAAACTATGTATATGAGCTGGAACGAGTTCTTAAGAAAAACTTTGAACCGCTTTGCTTAACTATGCTATAATTTTGGAAAATATAGAAAATATATTAAGATTTCAGTAGTATATCCAAAGAAGTTGAAGAAATCAGACAGTTTGAAGAAAGTGTGGGGAAGGCAGAAATATCCCCTGTTGTTATTTGCATCAAACCAGCACAGAGTATTTTGAAAGACAACAGCCCGAAGCACATCAGCTCACACTACTTTAAGCCTTTTTCATGGTTAACTATAAAAAACTA